CTTGTGTACGTGGCTCTAGGTTCATACAGCTCCAAAGTCAAAACTGGCCCACCCAAGGGTTCAATGTGAGCATTATGTGTGAAAATTGGAGTAAAGTGTTTTTTTTAATGTGCTGTAATTCCCACTCCGATCATGGTAGAAATACTAATAATGTAAAAAGTCGGGCAATTTTTTTAAATTGCTCTTATCATTAATCTCTGGCTCTCTTCCACACCGTGTCTTTTGCCCCGTCTTCCTCGCCTCACCGCCATTCGTTGCAGCAGATGGCCTCCTCCCCCTGAGCCAGTTTCTGCCGGAGGTTTCTTCCTATTAAAAGGGTGTTTGCTCATAGAATGGTCTTTCTAAGATTGCAGTCCCTATCATAGAGTATGAAGACTCCTGTTGTGAAATCGGCGCTATGTTAATAGAACTGAAATTCAATTTGATTATTTTTCTTCCGACAGCACCGCTTGTTCTTTTATTTTTTAAATGAATCCCTCATCAAATGAGAAAAATAATACTCTTCTTGTCTGGCAATATTTTTTTTTTAATTTAAACAGGAACTGATTAGTCTTATGGACTTCATACCCCTGATAATCTCTGAGCTACAAAAAGGAAATAAAAACTAAAAATATTTTCTGGATTTGATACATTTGTTTCTTAGAAATGAGTTGATCCCAATTAGGAATGTTTTGAATTGTTGATCAAGTAAAATGACATTTAAAAGACTAAAAGACTTGGATCATGATATTTGAAAGATCAGCTGGGACGTCAGCTTTGAACAGTGACTGCAGCAGGGTGGATCTGCTAAATATTAAAACTGGAAACTTGGTTTAACCTCCTAGGATCTTGTGTCCACATATGTGGACATCACATTTTGGGTTATTTAGACCAAAATACTAAATTTTGCTCTACAAGGGCCTGATATCCACTTACAAGGACGTTATACTGTCACTGTTCTATCAAAATTTCAAGCGAATGTCCTCATATGTGGATCTCATTTTTCTCAGAAACCAAAATCAGGTACAAAAAAAACAAAAAAACAAAAACACAACAACAACAATCAGGTAATTCTTTGTTTTTACATTCATCAGGCCCCAATCAGCCCAAATAGCAAAGAGAAATTAAAAATGCATGCCATGAAAGAGTTTGAGACTTTGGGACCGACTCTATCCAGCACGGACCTCAGATTAAACTAATGCACATCAATAAACTTTAAACCGACCAGCAGCAGACAGCGGTTTGATGTAACGTCGCGCGACCTACCCTTCCAGCTCAAGGCTGCTTCCCCGCAGGTGGACAGGGGAGAGTCTGCGAGCCGTGTGGTCAGAGCTTGAAGGAGGACGATGTAGACAACCGACTGAACCTGTCTGGAAGAAGAAAACGGTCACATCAGTCTCAGTAATGCAACGTCACATTTTTCTATTTACTATCTAATCTCTGAGGCACACGGTCGACTACAGGCACATAAAACATGATCTGTCAACAGCAGCACAAACTTTTTAAGTGGGTCATGAAAAGCTGAAAGCCTTTGAGTGCATCTCCAGGTGAAGTCAGGCTACATTTTACTGAAACACCCACAACAGTGACCCAAAACTTTTTGCAGGTGACAGCACAAATATGAAAGCCATTCGTTATGATGTCAGCTAAGCAGCTGATTTTTACAGTAAGCAATCTCCTGCAAAATTAAAGCCAAAAAAAAGGAAAAAACTAGACAAAAATTTTCTAAGATGACTCTGTGCATCGTTTGAAGATTTAGTGAAAATTTAGTTCAACCCATTCTTTAATAAGACTTTAAGACACAAGTAGA